AGCTCTGGACAAGTAGGTGCCCCGTACACGGGTCTACTCTGACCGACTGCCATGGAGCGGAGAGGAGAGAAGGGCGCTCGCCCACCGCGCGGCTCCGCCCCGCCCGCCCTGCGCGCGATCCGCCGCCGTCCCAGCAGGGGGCGCGCTCACACCGCGCGGGATGCCTGCCGCCGTCCCAGGGCCCTGCCCCGGCCCGCACGGGGACAGAGCTCACCCCACCTGGACAGGTGGAGAAACTGAGGCCGCGGGGGCAGCGGTGAGCGACCCCAGGTGGCAGAACCTGTGACTAGCAGAGCTGGGAGTCTAACCAGGTCCGCAGCGGCCTCTGCTTGAGCCCCTACTGTGGCCCACACGCAGCGGTGTAAGCGCTCTGACAAACACGGGCGGCAGGACGACCGCACCCACGTGGCAAAGGCTCAGCGACCGTGTGAGGTCCGCACTGCGCCCGGCAGAGAGGCTGGGTATGGTGTGAGCGCGGGCATGATGCCGGGGTATGGTGTGCACACAGGCATGGTGTCTGGGTACGGAATGAGCACCGTGTGGTGTTATGGGGCAAGCACAGCTGTGCTGGGAGGAGGCAGAGGGTGACGACCATGAAGAGGAAAATCCCCAGCCAAGCAAGTCAGGGAGCCAAGTGAGAGCCTTTATTCTGCATCAGCTATTGAACCCATAAAAACTCCGGTGAATGTTCTCTTTTAGAGACACTGATAGGCCTTGTTTTCCTATAATCCTGTAAAGGAATATGATTTCAGCCCATCACAAACAGGTCCAGATGGTGCACAGAGGAACTCATGGAGGCCAGGCTTGGAGACAGCTGCCTTCCTGAGAGTTACTATTATTATCCCCATTTTATAGAGGAGGAAGCTGAGGCACAGGCAGGTAACTTGATCAAGACCATGCTGCCTCCCAGTAGAGGACCAGATTCCAAACTCAGGCAGTCTGCTTTGCTGGCAGAACTTGCACCTTTAACCCTCATGCTACGGTCACGCAGTATTGCACTGTGGCCAGGTGCATGGCCTGTGGGTTCAAATCCCAGCCACTCTGCCATTTCTAGCTGTGTGACCTTGGGCAAGTTACGTGTCTGTGCCTCAGTGTCCTCATCTGCAAAGTGGGGATAGTAGTACCTGCCTCATGGAGTTCCCCTTAAATGAGTTAGCAGCTGTAACATGTTTCCAATGGTGCCATGCACGTAGTCACCACCCAGTAAATATAGGCCAGTATGCCTGAACCCCAGATGGGCTTGTGCCCTTGAAGAGTCTAGAATTCTTCAGGATTCTACAATGCCAGCCTATGGGATCCTAGAATCCTCCGGCGACATTCTTGTGGCTGCAGAACTGCACCCTGCTTCCCCGGTAGGTGGTGTGGGGCCGCCTGTCCAGCCGGCTCAGCCCCACAGTAGGCAAATGAGGTGATGTCAAAGCCTTGGCTGGGGCCCAGCCCCTGCAGCCTCCCCCCCCCACTGCGTGTTCCCGCCCTCAGATTCACACACACACTCAGGCCTGCCGGGCCCAGAGGGAAGGTGACAGGGCCAGGAGCGGAGGTGGCTGGTGGGTGCTTGGGTCCACTGAAGCGTGACACCTCCGGCCCTGTTGAACGGGTGGCCCAGGGACTGGAGCCGCACCTGAGGGCTCTTGCTCCCCCTTTCACCCTACGCCTCGCTGTGCTTCGGTCCCAGCGCCATCCCTCCCCGCGAGGGCCCGTCTGGGTGTCCACGCTGGACTGCCCGTGTCCCTTTTGCCGGGGTGCACAGGCCGGCGGCCATGGCCGATGAGAAGACCTTCCGCATCGGCTTCATCGTGCTAGGGCTTTTCCTGCTGGCCCTCGGCACGTTCCTCATGAGCCACGATCGGCCCCAGGTCTACGGCACCTTCTATGCCATGGGCAGCGTCATGGTGATCGGGGGTGTCATCTGGAGCATGTGCCAGTGCTACCCCAAGGTAGGTGGTAGTGGGGCTGGGTGGGGCAGGGAGGGCTGGAGACGGTGTCACTACGCTGCACAGTAGCCAGTCCCCCATCCTGCAACCGTCTTTTCATCTTCTCATGTTCACTCCCTGTTTTCTTCTCGCTGCTCTCCTGAACATCCGTCCATCCATCCATCTATCCATCCATTCATCCATCCGTCCGTCCATCCATCCATCCATCCATCCATCCATCCATCCATCCATCCATCCATCCATCCATCCATCACTTAGCATAAGGGTTGATCCGAAGCCCTCTGTCTGGAGCCCTGAACCAGGCGCGATGCGGGAGATGCAGTGAAACACAGCGCATGATCCGTGAGCTCGAAACAGAAGCTAACGAGCGCTCACCACCTGCCGGGCGCGCCTGCGCTCAGGTGCGGCGCAGCGCTCATCCTGAGCCTTTTGCACAGCCTCATCTGCGCTCCCATTTTATAGTGGAGAAAGCTGGGGCTCAGAAAGGCGAGGCCCCACAGCTAAGTGGCAGAGTTTGGACTGGAGCTCAGTCCAAACTCTGCGTGACCTAAGCATAGCCCTCCACCTTGGGTCCTCCCCACTCCCCAGCTGCCGGAGCTGCTGGGAGTCCCGGGGTGGGCACGTCTAACTGCTGTGGCTTGCACTGGGCAGTGCTCCATCTTTCGGAGTCTTAATGTATTTCTAGCCTTATGGGTGATTTTAGTGATGGGAAGAGCACTGTTTGGGGAGTCCTGGGTTCTACTTTCAGTTCTGTACCAAACTCTCTGTGTGAACTTTGTCTTTCTGAGCCTCAGTTTTTTCGTCTGCAAAATGGGATCTGAAGCACCTATATGTACAGCCTCACAGGGTTATTATAAAGACCAGAGAAGAGACGGGATATAGGACTATTTTGGAATCTGAAGGGTGTTATATGTAGGTGAAACCTTGGCAGTCTTGCTGTTATTGATCCTCCCAGCAACCTTGTGAAGGAGTTGTAAACCTTCAAAGCCCAGAGAGGTTGAGTGACTCTTCCACGGTCACACAGCTGGTCAGAGACAGACCAAGGGAGATGAGGAGAGAAACCTGGGTTCTAATTTGGGCTCTGTCTCTACTGCCTGAGAGATTTTGCTCAAGCCCCTGCCCTCTGTCAGCCTCAGTTTCCTCATTTGTTGGGAGGAGGGGGTGGGGAAAGGGGTTTGTCCAGGGCTCCAGGCCCAGGCAACCCCCACCCTCCCAGGACCCTCCTCTCCCCCACTGCGTGGCTGTGCCCAGGGTTCACGGGAAGGGGGGCCGGGGGACCTGGGCCAGGCTCTCCCCAGCCCTGCCCCCTCCGCGGGCCAGCCCCGGGCTGTCAGCGTGTGTTCGGGGCTGGGGCGGTCTGGGCTGGTTTGCAGCCGTTTACCGAGCAGTTTACAGTCAACTCGCTTCTGTCTGTGCAATGCCCTGAGCGAGGTCACTGGGAGACAAGGTCCTTGGGTCCAGAGCCACCCATGTCACCACCACCATCGTAATCCTCCTAGTGAGGAGGCTGGACCTGGGGGACGGCAGGGGGACGTCAGGGTGTGGAGGGAGCATCCTTCCTGCCCTCCTCCCCAGCCAGGAGTGGCTCTGGGGTGGCGGGAGGTGGCCGGAGTGGCAGCGGGGGGTGGGGAGGGAGGGAGTGTTGCAGGGTATTAATGAGTAACTGTTGATAGGTTCATGCGCCGCGGAGGCAGCGTGGTGGGGTGGAAACGGCACACACGTTGGTGGCCTAGAGGCCCAGATTCAAATCCCTGCCCCCTCCTGTCCTACTTCTGTGACCTTGGCGGAGAGAGTCCCCCACCTCTGAGCCTTGCCTGGCCTGCTGGAGGGGGCGGGGCGGGACGTGGCATCACAGCCGACGCAGGGCGAAGGCACCGTCCTCAGGACTGGTGTCCGTGGCACGGCTGGGTCCCTGCATGGGTGCGCGGCGTGTGCGCACTGGCGTGGGTCTGTGTGGCGAGGGCTGTGGCTGTTGCAGCCAGCGCGGGCTGACCCCACGGAGGGCAGGGAGGCAAGGGCACCGCGGAGACGCTCCAGAGCTGGGCTCCTGGAGTCCCACGTGGTCTCCGCGGTGCCCGGGCCATCGTGGCTTCCAGCGCTCACGCCTGTCCTCCCTTGGGCTCCTCCCTGGCCCTCCTGCCCGGCCTATGGAAAGCTTCGGTAAATGGAACAGTTTTGGGTTGAAAGAAGTATAAATATAAGGGGAGAGAATCGGCTAATGAGGATATGGAGGTGAGAGGTAGCCTGTACCACGTGCGCTAAGCCGTCCGTGTTTCTGAGGGGCTGGACGTCTAGTGGGAGAAACTGTTTGCTGCCTGATGAGGGGGAAGTTCACCAGGCAGAGAAGACAGGGAAGGACACTGCAGGCAGAAGAGCGGCATGATCAAAGATCAAAGACACGTGGTGCATCTAGGGGGTAAGCGGAGGGAGGGAAAGGTGGAGAGGGGTTCGGTCAGCTGCTCGGGGCCAGAGATGCCACTCTAAGGAGCTGCGACCTTACTCTCTAGTTGATGGGACGAGAGAGGGCATGCCAGCTTTGTAATTTGAGAACGTTATCAGGCTGACCTTGGAGGGAGAAGGTCCAGGGGCAGCCAGACCAGCCGGGAGGCTTCTTCTCTGTCCAGGTGAGAGGTGATGGTGCTCTGGGCGGAGGTGGATTGGGACCCACGGCTGTGGGCACTGAGAAGACACTGCCCGTTCACCAGGGCACCCACTGTGGCTGGCACGTGCAGCACGTCCACCCGGGGTATCTCATCAGATGTCTGAAGGAGACCTGGCCGATTTGGCAGCCAACCAGGCCTCAAGCAGGAGAGAGGAAGAGGCATCTGTGCACCTGTAGTGGGGGAGGGGTGCTGGGCATGCCGAGCCCCTTCGCTGAGATGCTGCAGGGGAGCTGGGAGCAGGGCCTCCCTCCCTCTGCTGCCTCCCTCTGGGGACCGCTCAGTGTTCTGCTGAACACAAGTCTGTGTACTCTGCTACCCAGAACTCCCCTGGACCCCACTGCTTCTAGAGAAAGGCTGACATCCCCTCTCCAGCCTCAGCTCTGCCTGTGCCCCCTCGCCAAAGAGCTTGTATTTTAAGATGCTATGGTCTCTCCTTCTCCTTCAGGCTTTTCAGGATGGTGATGATGCTGTTGATGGTGAGGATGGTTATGATGAAGGTGGTGAAGGTGATGATGGTGATGATGATGGTGATGGTGGTGATGATGATAGTGGTGATGATGATGATGGTGGTGGTGGTGATGATGATGATCATGTTGATGATAACAGTCATGATGATGATGGTGGTGATGATGATGATGGTGGTGATGATGATGATGGTGATGATGATGGTGGTGATGATGATGGTGGTGATGATGATGATGATGGTGATGATGATATTGATGGTCATGTTGGTGATGACGACAATGATGATGATGTTGATGGTCATTGTGGTGCTGACGATGATGATGGTGATGGTGATGATGACAATGGCACTGACTGGGCCATGAGGTGAAGAGGCAGCTTCTAGAAAGTACAGAGCCAGCTGGGAAAGGCAGGGTGTCCCTAGCGGGGGTGGCAGATAACCCGGGCTGCTGCCTTATTTCTGGACAACCGGGGGGAGCTCGCCCCTCACAGAAGCCCTAGGACTCCTCCATCCATCATTCGCTTCTTTCACCCCTCAGGATGGAGCTGTTTTGGTGCATACAAGTGTCCTCTACTCACCGCACGCCATGGGAAAGGGGGAGGGAAGTGCTGTTTATGAACCTGGTATAGTGCAGTAGGGTCTCATCAAATGTTCGTGGGACAGTTTTTAGCTGAGGAGAGCAAGACTCAGAGAGGTCAGGTGGCTTAGTCTTCAGTAGCGTCAAGTTATGATTTACTGAGCAGTAACTATGTCAGCCACCATGCTGGGTGATTCCTTTGTGTTATTGCATGAAACCCTCACAGCAACCCCAGGAGACAGGCATATATGGGTACACGGAACATAAAATTCACTGTCGTAGCTGTGTTTAAGTGCACAGCTCAGTGGAGTTAAGCGCATTCACAGTGTTGTGCAGCCAATCTCCAGAATGCTTTTCATCCTGTAAAACTAAAACTCTGTACCCGTTAAGAACCAAGTCCCCCTCTCCCCAGCCGCTGGCAAGCACCGTTCTACTTTGTGTCTCTGTGGGTTTGACGGCTCCAGGTGCCTCCGCGAAATGGAGTCCTGCAGTACTTGTTGTTCTGCGTGTGGCTTGTTCTGCTTGGCGCAATGTCCTCCCCCAATGTTCATCCCTGTCACAGCTCGTGCCAGAATCTCCTCCCTTTCCAGGCTCAATAGTATGCATTGTGTGGAGGGGCCGCGTTGTGTTTATCCATTCCCCCACCGATGGACACTTGGGGTGCGCCCGCATTTTGGCTCCCGAGAACAAGGTAGCTGTGAACACGGCTGAGTGAGCATGTCTGCAGGGTGGCCCCGTTATACGAGGAGCGCAGAGAGGCTCCGGGAGGGGCTGAGCTTCGGGGGGCCCTCAGCAAGGACCCCGCAGAGGAAGGATCCTCAGGTGTCTCCCAGACCCCGAACGCAGGGCTCCTCCCACCCCATGCCCCGTCGCCCCGCCACCACGCAGCGCCCAGGCCCGGTGCTGCACCTGCAGAGACCTCCTGGTCCCTGAAAGCTCGGGGACAGGGACTGGTGGGCGCAACCGCAGCCATTTACGTCCCCCACTGCGGCCTCTGTGCAGGAAACACACGGACACTATTCGCCAGACAGGGATGGAGTGCCTACGACGTGCCAGCCTGTGCTGGGCACTGGACGCAGGGACACCTCTGGGAGATGACCAGATGTGCCCTCCTTGAGGGCAGGGTTGTCTCTTTCGCTCGCTGCTGCCCCCTAGTGCTAGAAGCGTGCCTGTATACGGCAGGTGCTCAATAAATGCTTCTGGGCGAATGAAGATCCTGGTGCAGTGCCCCGAGCAGCCCCTCCCGTGTCCAGCAGGGAGCCCTGTGTGCAGCCTCTCTCCCAGGTGGTGAGAGCTTTACCGACGCCCCGGGGAGAGCAGCGGCCTGCCCGGCCAGCTGCAGAAAGGCGGTCTCCCTTTGCCTGCAGGTCGCCTTCGTGCCCGCTGACTCTGACTTCCAGGGTGTCCTGTCCCCGAAGGCCCTGGGCCTGCTGGAGAACGGGCTTGCTGCAGACGTGAGGAGGTGGGTGCCGGGCCCTTGCCAGGGTGGAGGTGGGGCAGCAAACCCCTCAGGCCAACCCGCCCTTGCCCAGGAGAGGAAGGGAGAGAGCGGGTGGCGTGGGTGGTGTCCCCTCCTCTCCACCCAGGTGTCCTCCCTCTTACTGAGAAGAAACTGCTAGAAATCACGGAGTGTTTTGAACTCTCAGTTCTGTGAGTTAGGTGTTATTATTCCCATCTCATAGGTGAGAAAACTGAGGCTCAGGGACAAGATAAAGTCTTATGGTGAATAGAGGGTCTCAATGACACAGAAATCATACAGTGAAACACACAGTGAAAAACACATTGAGATAGGGTCACGCAGGGACTGCCACTACTGCTGCAGACAAGCAAGAAGAGGCACAGCCCTGGGGCTCTGTCACTCGCTAGCTGCGTGCCTTTGGGCAAGCTGCTGACCTCTCTTTGCCCCATCTGTGAAACGGGGTTATAGGGACCTATCCCCTAGGTTTCAGGTAAGGGACATAATATACGCAGAATGCTAAGAACAGGCCCCGGCACCCCGTAGGTCCTCTGTAAGTGTTTGTCACCATTAGCAAGTGCCTTCTGTGTGCCAGAGGCTGGTCAGGCACTGCACTCATCACTCCTTCAGTCCCCATAGAAGCCCTGTGGGCTGGGGCTGTTAGGCCCTTGATACAGATGGGGAGACTGAGGCTCAGAGGCTGGGGTGTCAGGAGGTTCGACCTGGCCACTCCCTGGGGATGTTGAGTCCTCATTCGACAGGACACTGCCAAGGGCCGGGCCGCAGGTCGAGGGCCTGTCCCCTGGGCCAGGGATTCTCTCTGTTTTGCTCGAGGAAGGGACCGATGGTGGCACTTTCTGCTCCTGGCACACAGGGTGAACAGACGTCCCGGTGGGAATGACATGGGTGGACTCCAGAAGGCCGGGGGCAGCCCAAGCTCTGTTACACGCTGCCATGACAGAGCGGGGGCTCAGGCCACTCTGCCATCTGGGCTCTTCCCTGTCACTTCCCAGCTGTGTGACCAGGGCAAGGGACTTAATTTCTAAACCGCACTGTCCAGGGGGATGGTAGCACAGGGATAGAGAACCTGACACCTGGAGCCCCAGAGCTACCACCTAGTGTCCCTGTCACCCTGGGTACAAGCCAGGCAGAGGCCCTGTGCCTCAGTTTCTCCCCAGCAGCTCCTGGAATTGCGGTGAGGCCCGGCTGAGCCACTGCAGAGCCCGGCAGGAAAGGAGCCTTCAGTAGCTGTGGCTGTTCCCACTGTCCCCATCTGTGGAATGGGAGGGTAATCCCTGCTTCAATGCCTTGTTGGGAACAGTAGGATGACTGGCCCTTCGTCTGGGGCCCAGCAAACTCTCAGTGTTGACCGGTCTTCATTTTGCAATTGTACCCTCGTGGGTCACTTCGGAGACATCAAGCGAGGAGGACACACTAGACTGAGAGTCAGCCTGGAGGCCAGGCCTGAGCTTTGCCACTTGGTTTATTCACCTTGCTGGGCCTCAGCCTGCTCATCCCCGAAATGGGTACAGCAACATCCCCAAAGTCTTCTGTGAGATCAGGGAAGGGCACATGCCCGGGGCAGACAGGGCCAGGGGAAAATACTGGTGTTTGTTGAGTGACTCATTGACCGCCTACCTGTTCTCACTCCCGCTCTGCCTGCTGCGCCCCGCCAGCCCCCAGCCCCCCTACGTCAGGCTGTGGGAGGAAGCGGCCTACGACCAGAGCCTGCCCGACTTCAGCCACATCCAGATGAAGTTCATGAGCTACAGTGAGGACCCCCGCCCGCTTCTGGGCCCCAAGCTGGGAACCAGTGGCGGGGAAGGTGGTGCTCGGGACGTTCAGGCCTGGGCGGAGGCTGCTGTCGTCGTCCACAGGGGCTCGGAGGAGAATGAGGGGGAGAGAGAACCGACCCAGAGCAGGCCCGGGTGAGTGCACACAGCGGGACCGGGGATGCCGCCCAGTTTTGGGATAAAGGGGGAGAGGGTGGGGGGCCACCGAGGGGTGGCCGGGGATATTTGGGAGTAGGGAGAGGGCAGTGGAGGGTGCGGGCCGGCCTGAGAGGCAGCCAGGTGAGTACGGGCTTAGGAGTCGGGTGGACTCAGGGTCAAATCCCAGCCCCTCTGCTGGTAACATTAGCACGTTCTTTACTCTCCTGGGCCTCAGTTTCCCCACATGGGAATGATCGTTCCTGCTACATAGGACGTTGTGAGGATTGGGACAATGCAATTAGGTGCTCTCTCTGAATGTCTGTGAGTAGCGGAGGGCTAGGAGCTAGAGGGACCCACGTGCAAATCTTGGCTCTGCTGATGACCTTGAGCAAGTCACTCCCCACTCCACACCTGTCCCTATCTGTCTGTGAACCGAGTTCCTCGTCCATCCGTTCATTTATTCATTCCATCAGCATCACTGGGCACCTGCTGCCTGCCTGGCCTTGACTGGCCTCCACCCCATAGGAGCTCCCAGTCCAGTGGGGGAGGCAGACAAGGAAGCAGGAGGCCCCAGTGTCACTGGGCCCATGAGAGACCAGAGGAGGACCCTGAGTGACTGGAGAAGTGCGCGAGTGACCTGGTTTGGACAGCAGCATCGTAATGGCCCTGTTTCTTGGGCACCTACTATGTGCCAGACATTGTGCAAAGTGCAATGTGCATATTATCTGCTATAAACCTCAGAAACAGCTGCAGGAGTGAAGACTGTTATTTCCCCCACTTTACAGGGGAGGAAACTGAGGCCCAGAGAGGTGAACTAGCTTAGCCCAGGCCTTGCAGCCAAAGGCCGGGATTTGGACCCAGGCGGTCTGACTCAGAGCTACCCTCACCCTTGTGGTTTTTGCCCTGCAGCCCCCCAGCCTGTCCCCAGGGCCCTGCACCCTTGGCCTCCTTCCAAGATGACCTGGACGTGGGCTCCAGCGAAGACAGCAGCCCCAACCCATCTCCGCCCCACCCCCCACCACAGGAGCCCCGGGCCTGCTGGTGCCCGCTGGACCGCTACAGCGACTTTGCCCTGATCGACGCCAACATGGCGGAGGATGTGCCCCAAAGAGGGCAGCAGCAGGAGGTGGCCCTGCCCAACAACTGGCAGAGGTCCCCAGGGACAAAGGAGGAGGAGGAGTCTTCAGACCCAGGCACGGAGGAGCCTGAGGAGGAGGAGGAAGACTTGTACTATGGGCTGCCAGACAGCCCTGGGGACCCCCTCCCAGATAAGGAACTCGGCTTTGAGCCCAATGCCCAGGGCTGAGATGGAACTGGAACCACTGCTAACCCCATGTGACCTCATAGGCCTCAGTTTCCCTATCTGCAAAATGGGAGCACATAGAGGTTCAAATGAGACAATGGACCTGAGAGCATTTTGAGAACTGTAAAGAAATGCACAGGGACCAGAGGTGGCTCACACCAGTAATCCCAGCACTTTGGGAGGCCGAGGGGGGAGGATCTCTTCAGCCCAGGAGTTGAAGGCTGCAGTGAGCTATCTACGATCGTGCCACTGCACTCTAGCCTGGGAGACAGAGCGAGACCCTGTCTCTGAAAAAAGCAAAAGCACAGGGAGGGGATGATTCCTACCCATGGCCCGGTGCTCTCCCAATTGGTGGTTCCCTTTGGCAAACCTTTGAAGGTAAAATATGACTCAGTGAGAAGGTTTGCAGCAGCTGAGACTCTCAAAAGTTCTTTCCAGGCCGGGCGAGGTTGCTCACACCTGTAATCCTAGCATTCTGGAAGGCTGAAGTGGGAGGATCATTTGAGCTCAGGAGTTTGAGACCAGCCTGAGCAAGAGCGAGACTCCATCTCTACCAAAAATAGTAAAAATTAGCCGGGCATGGTGGCGCATACCGGTAGTCCCAGCTACTTGGGAGGCTGAGGCAGGAGGATTGCTTGAGCCCAGGAGTTTGAGGTTGCTGTGAGGTAGGCTGATGCCACGGCACTCTAGCCCAGGCAACAGAGGTGACTCTGTCTCAAAAAAAACCAAAACAAAAGTTCTGTCCACCTCCCCCACAGTTGGCCTCTGACAGGGCCCCTCCTTGGTGCTACCCCTGGGCCCCCGATCTTTGTGAAGGCCTCTCGGGGTCCCATTCCTGTGGTCTTGTAGTCCACTTGGCAGGTGGGGTGATCGTCTTCGCTCAGAGCTCAGCTTGCCTCCTCCCGGCCCACACGCTCCTGCAGCTCCCATTGCCCCTCCACCGGGATCCAAAACCTCCTGTGCCTGACCCCTGCTGCCCTCCCGACTGTACCCCAGGGCAGCCCCCCTCATTCTCTCTGCTCCTCCAGTTCCAGCCCCGCCATCCTGCTGCTCACGATCTTACCCAAGCTGCCCTCCTCCGCCAGGCTGCCCCCGGCTCCCTTGCCAGCTTGGCAAACTCCTGCTCATCCTTCCAAACCCTCCACGGATGACCCTCCTCTGAAAGCTTTTTCCTGATGTGCTTCCTGGAATAAGGCAGCTCTTGCTCTGCTGCACTACCTCTGGGCCTTGTACATTTATCACTGTGGTGTGACCCTGTTCCTGCCCAAGGGTGGCCTCATGACCTTGACCCTTACCTCCTGTGCCCAGCCAGGACTCTGGCCTGGCCTGGAGCCTCTGGTTATTGAGGGTAGACAGAACTCACCAGGACCCAGGAACTTGTGCAGATGACATCACCGTCTCCCACTTCCCCTGCTTTTAGACTCACAGCCCTTTTCCTCTCTGGCAGTCAGACTTCCAAGCCACCTGTATACAGTCACAAGGCCGGGCAGAAAGCCCCGCAGGAACACCGCCCCCCCCCCCACCTGCATAACGCATTTCATTGATCTAGGATTGCGGGTGAAATTCAGCTTCCTGCCTTAATTCAGTTTGAATCAGGTGGCATTTCCTGAGCACCTGCCACGTGCCAGACACCAAGCCGGGATCTCCAGGGGGAGAGAGATGAGCCACTGACACTCTCCCCGCCCCAAAGGGCTCACGATCTAGAGCTTGATTTCTTGCAAGTTGGAGACGGAGAGCAAAGCAGAAGCTGAGGCTGAGGCGGGAGCAGAGAAGTTGAAACTGACACAGCAGAGGCAGCGGAGTGACAGCCACACGGCCATCTGGGGCACATAGCTCAGGCGCCCTGGGGAGGTCTCTGTGTCCCACAGCTTCTCAGAGTGACGCTCTCATTACAGTGACCTCTGCAGAGCCCCTCCGTGCCCCGCCCAGCTGCAGAGAGCAGGCGGCCACACCACCTCGGCCAGGAGCGCACCCAGAGCTTGCACCCTGGAGACCTTCTCCAGCGGGTGGGCCTCTGGGTCGCGGTTGGGGCTGTGGCCGGGGGAAGGAGATGCCCCTGTGCTGGGTCAGAAGGGGCCCCCAGAGCACAGCCCCTCTTTTTCTGGGTCACTCCTGCCCCTGGCGTGAAGGGTGCCCCCGGGCACATCCTCTCTGCTGGTGTGACGCAGGGACAGGAGTTCCTGCTCAGAGCCGGAGTCCGAGGTTGAGTGAGGAGTAGCGAGCTCCTATGCTCCGCGGACCAAGGCAGGGACACCAGTGACCTGCATCGGAAGGAACGCCAGCGCCTACGGCTAAAATAAACCGGTCTTCAACTTTACCGTTGCACATTCGCCTGCACATTCTTTTCTGTGAAACGTCCTGGCCCCCGCGGGGCAGGATAAACGAGGCGTCCTGCCCGCAGGCCCCAGGGGCCCCGGCTAGGAAGCGAGCACCCACCGCAGGGGCCAGACCGAGGGATGGCTGAGTGGCGCCGACCTCAGGAGTGGCCCCCACGCGCCCCAGCCACACCGGCAGGGCCTTCGCCCGGAACCAGAGCCTCTGCATGCCAGGCCTGTCCCTCAGGGCTGTGCGGGGGCCAGGCAGTGGGAGAGATGGTGAGGTCCAGGCGTGGTCTCCCCCACCGGCCCCCCACCTCGCTGCGTGTCGGGGAGACCACGCGGCTGACCTGCCGGGAAGGGCCTGGTCTGCGAGGCGGCCTCCACTTGGTTAGGGGCGGCGCTCCCTCTCACCCTCCGACCTGTCCCATGGGGACGGCACACTGCGTAGTCACTTTCTCTGCTCTGCGACGCTGGACAGGTCCAGCTGCCTCTGTGGACCCCAGGCTCCCCATGTGCAAACGGGACGTGATGTCCCCTGTCTCTGAATCTCGCAGGGCTGCGTGGCAGGGCACGTGACAGGCTCTGTCTGTCCACGGCCCGCAGCAGAAGGGCGCCAGGTGCGCACCTGCCGTCAGCAGGTTCACTTGCTGCAGCGACGGGGAGCGAGAGCTGCAGGCACCACGGGGTGTCTCTGAAAGAGGGTGTCAGAAAGGATCCGCTACAGGTTTCGGGCTGGTGTCAGGTGGTTTGGGGGCGCGGTTTGAGGCAGCGGGCCTTGGCTGCAGTCGGCAGGCTGCCGGGAGGCAGGCTGGTTCTACACCTGGGCATCCTCCTCACTGCTACAGAGAAGGACGGAGGACCAGACCACTGCTGAAGCTGTCACTGGCGAGAAGTGGCGGTCACCCTGTAGGCAGGAGGGATGTTTGGTCATTTCTGTTCATGTTCTACCCTCCCTCAGCCCTGGTGACTACGGAGTGTTCTTGCTTGGTGTGGACCCATGAGGGTCAGAGCGGCCCTGTCTGATGGTGCTGGCATCCTGTGACGTTCACGTCCAGCGGGAGAGCAGCAAGGCCTGCCGGCTGGCCGGTGCCAGGCCCCTGCCGTCTCACTGCTCGCAGCTCCTCCTCCAAGCCTGCCGCCACCAGTGGGCAGGCGGGGAATGCGCTGTGCATTTTGTTTGCAGCTGCAGCTTTTTAGACATTCAAAGATGGGGCAGGGAACACTCATCCTTTGAGCTCTGGGCACCATGGGCTCTATGACTTGTCCCCTGAACTTCCCACACCCCCTGCCATCCCACTGTGGCTCCTTGCTCCCCTCTAAGAACACCAGCTCCTCAGGGGTGCCCCTCGCATTGGTTGCTTGGCTGGGAGGGGCAAAGTGCTTGTGAAGGGCCTGGGGGAGGGGGCACTGAGAGGGCCTATGGGGCTGCCTTGGTGGCGAAACCTGGGATTCCAGCTTTCAGGCCCTGGCTCTGGATTCGTGTGCCAGGGTGGAAATTCCTGCTCCTGGTCACTCTCTGGTCAGTTCAGAGGAACTCTGGAAGTTTCCACTCTCTGGGGAGGGAAAGGCCCTGGAGGGGCAGCACCTGCCCTTCCCTGGGAAGGGGTAGGCCAGGGGAGACAGCGGTCCTGGGCTCTGCCGACTGCTGGCCGTGACCTTGGGTACATCACAGCCCTCCCGGACTTCTGGGTTCTCTGTACGATTACACGGAGGAGGACAAGAGTCCACTTCTACTACCAGTCCTCAGGCCCTGTGTGCCAGGCGCCATCACACCTTTACCCCACTTGGTCCTGGGAACAGCCCTGGGGGACAGATCTGTCCACCCCATGTTGCAAATGTTTCTTCTAAATCCTGGAATCTCGAGTCAGAAATGCCTGGCTTACCCTTGTCCTCTGCCAGTTACTTGCTGGGTGACCTTGGACAAGTCAATGCCCTTCTCTGAACCTCATCGTCCACATTTATGCAGCAAAGAGCATAAAAGCTCCCTGTTGGGCTGTTGTGAAGAATGAACAGGTGTAATGTCTCTGGGACATCTTTGACGCTCGAACGGTGTCAGTTTCCTTCTTTCCCTCTCTGGGTCTGTTTCCTCATCTACATGAAACATAAGTCAATGGGTAAATGCAGTCACCAGGAGGAAGAAGCAGGTAAAAGCTCCTTGCAGGGGTAAAGGACATTGCTGTGTGCCAGGTGGCGAGGGCAGGTGAGCTGACAGCAAGCGCAGGGACTGCGGTGTACAAAATGCTGAGCGAGGGGCAGCATCCCGGGAGCTTGGAGGGGGAACAGGCGGGGAGCAGGTTCTCAGGCACCTGCTGAGTGTGGGGTGCTTCACGTCTCCCAGCTCACAGAATTGAACCTTCCATCAGCCCTGAGAGATGGCCTTAACCAGGGTGAAACTGGGATTCCAACACGGGTGCTCTGAGCCTGTGCTCTTCCCACAATGCCATCTGTTATGTGATAATGTGACTCAATCACGCACCTGCTACGCTGTGCACACCTCACTTCATTTCACCTCACAACCTGCAAGGTTGGTGTAGTGTCAGGTGAGGAAACTGAGGCTCAGCGAGGCTGAATAATTTGACCGTCCTCCCGGAGAAGGGCCAGATGGAGGAGAGGAGCTATAGCTGCAGGGCTTCCATTCCTGGCAGGAATGTTCCAGTGGCTCCAGGGCATTCCGACCCCAGCGTGGACAGGACAAAAACACAGCTGGATGAGTCAGGCGGCAAGGTCCACGGAGCACCTACCTGTACCGTTCCCTGAGCCGGGGCTGAGGGAAACGCACCCCTGCTCCCACACCTTCCGTGACTCCCTGCGGCCCACAGGATAAAAGTCACGTTCTGCAGGCTGGCATGGGGCCCTTTCCAGCTGAACCACCCACCACATCCCCAGC